AAAGAGTGGGTATCTTTGTTTGTTTGTTTTGTTTTTAAAGGGTTAAGCCTGAAATCCAGGGTCAACGGAGGTAAACTAGACAACTTTTTCCTCAGTGACCAACCTCATGTAACTAAAATCCTTTTTGGGGGATGATGACTAAACATAGGAGGGTCAGTGAAGGAGCTGGAAAATCTTGGTAAGTCGTGTGTAGTGTCTCTAAAACCGTGTTGAGGATACGTGGTATTCTTGAAGATACGTCTTAGTGCTTGGTGCTAGCTAAGCGAGGAATCAGTCATAACATATCTTTAGTTATTTACACAAGTGGCCCCAGCGTCATGTTGTTGACATGTTAAGAATTGACTGTAGATCAGTCGTGATCATAAGGCTGTCACCCAGAAAATGAGGCCTCTTCGTCCGTAGGCATCAGAAGTGGCCTGTCAACAGCAGGGGCTTCTTCATTTACCGCGTCTGCGCTGCAGATTAATTCGTCTCTCTTACACGTCATTTCTGTCAGTGTTCTCACTGACACTGGCATTCTTGGCTTCCTTCCGACAGGAAAGCTTAGAATTAGTCTTCACTCTTTGCTCTCCATCCTCCTGTTCATCACTAAGCTAGTGTCTGTTACCAGTGAAGTCTCTTAGTGTGTCTGTGAGATTCACTTACTCATCTCCATTTCGGAAGCCGCAGTTCTAGTTCTAGTCTGAAAAAAGGCCACTGACTTTTGTAGCACCTTTTCTCTCTGCTCTTTTTGTTATTTGTCTTTAATTTGCTATAGGGCATGTATGCTCACTGGAGAGAGACAGAAAAAGAGAATGAAAAACAGAGGAAGCATCGCCTAGGGGCTTTGGCCAGGGGATGCTTTTTCCCCTTCATTTTCTTCTTGGGATTTTGGGCATTCGGGCCACAGGTTCTGGGAGTGGAACTGCAAAGTCAGCCATGTGGGATTGAGCTGCCTTAACCACCACTCCACTGGCTAGCCCTTCTCTGCTTTAATTCTCCCCTAGCTGCAGAATATTCTTCCCAGGGCTGCCGGACTGCCTTTCCCCGGAAACATTGCTTTCAATTTTCCCAGCCTACCCAAGAGTACACAGTTTCTCCATATTGCCTCTTGCTTGAAATCTGCTTAGGTTTAAAGAAACATTGTAATAGGGAATGATCAAACTCTTCTTCAGAAACACTGTTTTTCCCTTGCCCTGTCCCTGACCCTGCCACTTAAGTCAGTCCTTCTCCCATTCCGTACTTTTTCCCTCTATGGGAGACTGGTCTGGCTGTCTTAAATCTCATCAGATCCTGGGGCCAGCAGATGTGTAGTGATTACGCTGCTGGACTCTCACATGGCTGACTGCGGTTCGAGTCCCAGACCTGGTGTCTTGGAACTCATGCAGGACATGTGTGCATGCCCAAGATCTCAAGAGGAGAATGGAGAAGGGTTTGTGGTGTGGCCCCCACACCCCCCGCCGCCCAGTGGGGGTAATTTCTCACTTTCTGTCTCTGTCTCTCTGGCAAGTGCACATGCCCTACAGCAAACATCTCTTTAAAAAAAAAAAATCCAGTCAGATCCTGTCAGTGCATCCTCTCCATTAAGCCATCTTTTGCCTTCTCTTGACTTAAGTCTTTCTTCTCAGAACTCAAAAGTATAGCTCTAAAGTCAAGTCTATCTTTGCAGACTTAAGTTCAGACCCATTAATTTACAGTGAGACCTTGGGCGGCCAGCCTTAACCTTACTAACATAATTTCCACATCTGTAAAATAGGAATAGTAAATCATTTAAGACTTAAATCACATAATATGTTTAAAACATCCAACAGCGTGCCTGATACATGAGAGGCACTGAGCAGTTAGTTTTCAAATAATTACAGTAATACCCTCTTATCCATGGCTTCTCTTTCTGGTTTCAGTTACCTGCAGTTAAATGGAAAATTCCTGCAATAAACAATTCGTAAATCTTCCTTGTGAGTAGCATGGTGAAATTTTGCACTGTCCTGCATCATCTCACTGGGGACATGAGTCATCCCTTTGTCCAGCGTAGCGTGTCCGTGCTGTGTACTGTTCGTCACTAGGTAGCCGTCCCAGACTGAGAACACATAGTGCCTATGGAGGGAGTCTGGTGCTAATTGTGGTTTCAGGCACCCACTGAGGGCCTTGAGACTTACAGATAAAGGGAGGCTACCATGTAGGCAAACACTGATGGTCTGTATGATGTGTGCTGTTTCATATGATCTTTTCCACCTGTGGAGGGGGTTAAAGTGAATGAATATTTACTAGGCAGGGAAGAAGAGAAGGGAAATGATAAGCCAAAAGGGAAGCATTTACAAAAGCCAAGAAGCCTGATAGGTCTTGGCACGTTCAGAAAACTGCAGTGTGACTGTGTAACTTAGTGACTTGGGTGTCGCAGAGAGGCACTTACTGAGATGGCAGTCAGTGGGGTCGTGTTGTCATATTGGCGTGTTTGCCATGCCCAAGAGTGAGACCCACTTTCCACTGCTCTGGAACGTCTTGGAAGCTGCTTTGGAGGATACAATAATGTTGTGTTTTGTCTTATTTATCTTTTTAAATGTCTTTTAATTACTATCAAATTACTATGAGGCTTATTGTAAAACAAATTCAAATACAAAAGTACATCATAAAAAAAAAAAAAAGTACATCATAAATGGGAAAAGTACCCCTTTCCTCCATTCTAGGTAAAACCCCTGTCTGGCAGTAGCCTTTTTCTGTATGTATATGCAGGTATCAGTGCAGCTGTATTCTCAAACAGGATCAGTCTATCTAGCTATCTGCAGTTCTACAATTTTCTATTTTCTCGTCTAGTATAGCTTTCACTGACAGTATTTACCTTACTGTATCCTATTGCATTATATGGATCTGCCGTTATTTACCTAACTAATCCTCTATAGGTAAACATTTAGTTTTCAGTTTTCTTCGCTATTGAAAGCAATTCAGTGATTATTTTTTTATGTACATAAGTCTTTGTATATTTATGTCAATCTCTCCATGGAGTTAAATGTTTAGAAATGTAATGACTAGCTTTAAACACTTTAATTTTTTGATAAATCAACCATTTTTTTCCTAAAAAATGATGCAGGTTGAGCATTCCTAATCTGCAAATCTGAAATCTGAAATGCTCCCAGATCTGAAACTTTTTGAGCACTTTTGGATATGACACCATAAGTGGAAAATTCCACACTTGACCTCACGTGGCAAGTCATAGTCCAAATGCTACAATACAGAGCATTGTGTAAAATTACTTTCAAGCTGTGTATATGAGGTGCATATGAAACATAAATGAATCTCTTGTTTAGACTTGAATCCCATTCCCAAGATAACCCATGCTGTCTATGCAAAATATTCCAAAATTTAAGAAAATCTGAGATTTGGAACACTTCCGTATATAAGCATTTCAGATAAGGGTTCTCAACCTGTAGCAGTATGTTGCCATCTGATTCTGGGTACTATACTCCTATTAAGTAGTCTTAACTAGTTTTGCCAACTTGACCATTGAAGGTTTTTGTGAGTTTTCATTGTTTAGGTTTGGGTGGGATTTAAAGTTTCTTTTTTTTTTCTTTCTTTTTCTTTTTTTAATTCCCAAAGGGCATATATGTATGCCAGAGAGAGATGGAGAGAAAGAGAGAGAGGGAGAAAACACCCCTTAAGTTTACCACCAAAGTGGCCATTCTGCAATCTATTCTCCTCCGCTTTTCTGTGCTAAGATTTGGGGCACACATGTGTGCCCGGCGTGTTTCTCAAACCGTCAGGGCCAGGACTTGAACTGTGGTCAGCCGTGTGGGATTTAGCTCCCATAACCACTAGGCCACAGAGCTGGCCCTTTTTCTCTGTTTTGATTGCATGCATATTTTTCTGCTGCTTGACTGTTACATCCAAAGTATTTCTTTTTTTTTTCCCTCTCTTTTTTTTTTTTAATGAGAAATTTTTGCTCTAGGGCATGTTTTCTTGCCGGAAAGCAGAGGCGACAGAGACAGAAAGCAAGAAATGACCCCAAATGGGGGGATGGCCACACCGCAATCCCTTTGCCATTCTTCTCTCAGGATCTTGGGCATGCGTGCACACATGCCGGGCATGAGTTTAAGTCACCAGATCCGTGATTCAAACTGTGGTCAATTACATGGGAGTCTAGCAACATAA